ATTATCTAACCAGTAATAAGGACCAAACCTAAACGAGAGGTAGTAAATGAGTTAAGGAGGACTGAGACTGAGACCTTTCCTTTCATCGCTGTGGAGTCCTGTATGTCTCCATTAAGGCTTAGGTTATATGGAGATGGCTGGGTCTATGAGGCTTAGGCTTAGGGGACCTATGAGGGGCAACCAAAAAAAGTCTAGACATTAATGCATGGCTAGAGCTGGAGGTTCTGTTACAGGCTTGCTCATGACTGCAGATAATAATCACAAACTGAGTAGTAAATACAAAGAGGAAGGAAGGAAGGCAGGATGTGAAATCTGTTGGCCATGTTCCTTACAGTCTGGAGTGTATGTCAGTGTCAGCTGAGGCCCGGCAGAGAGCAGGATGGACGAGGGCCTGTCCAGGGCCTGAATGGACACAGGTGTCAGCAGGGCCACCTGGTAAGGGTCGGGAGGTGAGCCGTAAACAAGGGCACCTGCTTAAGGGAGGTTGTGTCTGAAATCTAGACGCTGCTGAGATACTAGGCGTTAGGTGCCCACAGGCTGTGTGGACGTAGAAGGGAGATGTGCTTTTCTTATTTGCACAAAGATACAAGTTATTGAGTATTATTATTGAACAACAGCACATTGGCCGTGAGAAGAGTCCTAGTAGTAGAAAGACTAGGAAGTCTGCCACTGAACAGAAGGGTGCCTCGCGCCAGAGCAGATGGGGACAAGGTTAGGATCCTAACGACTAAAAACAAAAATTGGCTGCTGAGCTGCTGGGGTGACTAGGATAGAAAAGAATGCAGACATTGGACAATGATGATATAGTTTAAGCACCCAGCAGCAGGAACCCAGGTCCAGTGGATGAGGTGGCCGGGACACCACCAGGTCCACGGGAACCTCCCCAAACTGTTGAGCTGCTAGTCAAGGGCTGCTCAGACTCCGTGAGCCAGGATCGGTCCCAGTGCCTGCGGTGGTGGCTGGGCTTGCAGATGGGCATTAGAAAGCACCTGCTTCTAGATTGAGATGGAACTGGGAACGGAGGAGCCAGGCAGGTGAGGTTTGTGTGTACTCAGCATCAGGAATAGAGAATGCCAAGGGCCTTTCTTCCTTGGTGTTGCATGATATTGACGGAGAAACTCACAGAGTTTTTCTGTGAATTTGGTCTTAAATGACAAAAACTGTGGTTACTTTTGCACTAACCTAATCTTGTTAAGTAGAACAGTATTTCCAGAATTATTGCTGAGCATGCTTTTTTTCTAGCTGTTTGGAAAAACAGGCTCCCTTTGGTTTGAGAGAGCATTGGGAGAGTCTAAAAAAAACCTGACATTTTTTCAAGTGTTTCTCCATAGAGTTTGTTTTGTTTTTATAAACAATGCCAGTATGGTTGGGAGGGGCAGGCTTTTATTTCAGCTGAGTTTGAATTGAAAGTACTATAAGCTTTATCTCCATTTCATCAGTTACTAGAGTTAATATGGCTTACAGAGTAATGTTTAGTCTGATAGCAAAAGGAGGGGCCCGGGCTCATTTGTGAAAGCTCACATCTAGGGGTGGGTAGTATAACACATGAGCTGTGGCCTGATAGAGACAGATTTGAGTCTCGTTCTGCCACTTGTCAGCTCAACAAAGTCATTGTTTCTCCCAGAGTGTCGGTTTCCTCCTCTGTAAAATGGGAATTGTGAGTCTACTACTCCTTTTGCAAGGTGGTTGTCAGGATATCATGAGAAAATACACAAAAGCAATGATCACATGCCTTGGCACAGGCTAAGCATGCGTACATCTTAATGCTTCTAATTAGTTGTTATTCACTGAGCATTTACCACGTGCTAAGCATTTAGGATATTAAAAAAAAAAGAACACAAAGCATCTAGTTATGGGTTCTGTATCTGTTACAGTCTCTGTATTTCAGTAAATCCTTCCATGGTTCTGTTGTGTGTCTTAGAGCAGTGATTCTCAAAATTTACTGTGCATAAGAATCAAATTGGTGGATGCTATTTAAATGCCCATTCCTGAGCCCCAGAGATTGAGATTAAGTAGAGACTCAGGAGTGTGCATGTTAACAAGTCCCCGCCTGGTACAGGCTCTTGACCCTGCCCTAGAGTCACCTCCTTTCACCAATACCTGAATTTACCCTTTCAGACTTCCAGATATCAATGGAACACCATCAGGAAGTTTCAGATTGGAGTTATCTCTTTTAGAGTTGCCTTGTGCTTTTTATCTTGAGAGACAGGATGACACCGGGAATAGAACTCTGAGAAAGAAATGATGGAACTGTGTGACCTCAGATGACTCAACCTTATCTTCAGTTTTCCTCATTCATCAAGAAGACAATACCTCCACACCCATCTAATAAGCTTATTTTGAGCCTTAAATGGGGGTATGGACATATAAAAGTTTTTCTATGAACTTTAATGAGCCACACAAATAAAATATACTTTTACCATTAAAGCAAAGCGAAACTGTTGCCAAGATTGAGTTTAATCTGGCATATATAGGTTGCTTGTACATTGGGCTACATATCTTAGTTGGAGAATATGTGAACATTTGTCCTCTGGCAGCGAGTCCTTTTCTCCCTTGTCATCCTCTACCCACACTTTTGTAAAGATGTTTTAGGGACCCTGATTTTAGGAGCATCTGCAGCCACAAAGCTGGCATTGGTCATGTTTAATGTCAAGATCTTGAAAACTGCTTGTCTTGATAATTAAAGCTATATTAAAGGGCCTCATGCCTTCTTAAAAGCAGATATCCTCTTAAATTCTAACAGGGTTTTCTTGGAATGCTTTTGCTCAAAGCAGAATGGTCCTTCCATTTATAGAATATAATGAGAGAATTGGTTTATTTGTGGAAGTATTTTCCTGTGAGCAAGCAGAGGAATCATGTTTATCACAAGGATATCCTGGCTGGCCCGTCTCCTTTGCAACTTGAATACTGAAGCTGTGAATTGTACATGAAATACCAGTGTGCCTAAACTTCCTAAATGTTTTTCAGGTGGTAATATGCAGTAGCCGTGTTCAAGAGTGGGCTCATTTTATTGTTTGAAAAAGAACATTCTCTCACAGTTCTTTGTTTTCAGTTAGACCACATATTAGTGAATGAAAAACAACAAAACAGTAACAAAAGTCTTGCTTACCCCTGCCTCCATGTTCTGTAGAATAATACATAAATTGCCCAAAGAGTATGTTTTGGAGAATATATAGGAATTTTGAATTGTAAATACTGACTTCTTTCCCTAGACCTTCATATACTGTCTTACATATAAATATATATTAAAAAAATTGCCGGTACTGGTAAGTTTTATCTTTGTTGGATCGTTGCATAAATGATGTTATTCTTAGTGGAGCCCTAAATGTTTAATTTGAGCATTTAAGAAGACGTTCATCACTACTTTGGCCCATGCTCAACGACCTTCCAGGACAGTCTAATGACCCAAAGAGGCAGATGATGTGTTCTCACTTGTAAACATGTGAGGACTCTCAGGTCAGAAGAGGTAGACTGATGAAGCTTCCCACACGGGATGTGGAGTTAGGCTGTGAATCTTGTCTTCTGATTTCCAACCAGTGTTGACTCTTCACAGGGCTTACGTATACCTAATTAGAAGTATGTGTAAACTGAAGTTTGCTCATTAACTTGCTTATTTATTTGCTTTCTCCTGACATAGCTTTCATTTCTAACTAATTTATAATAGTGGCACTTGGGGGTGGTGACTGCATTAATAGCAGTGAGAAGCAACAGCTGACAGCAAGAAAGGAGTGAAAAGCAACTTAGCCAAATAGTCATGCCAGCTTAGGACTGCTTAGCAAATAGCCCCACACACCCATTAGCTGCAGAAGGCTTCAAGTGTAGCAAAGCCTAGAACAATGATATTTGTTGAGCTAACCCCAGATCATCAAGAAAAGTTTAAGTTATGTTTAATATATTCTACTTATGAAGGCAAGGGAGTGGTTCATTTTAAGATTTCCATTTGAATGTATTTACCATGAAAAGGAAGGCAATGCCAGATTACTTGGAAATTTATTCACCCAGACTGCCAGGTTCTATACTGCATTGCCATGATTAAGGTTAATAGGCGTGGGCAGGAGTGAAAGGGGTGGGACACGCAGTTGTGTAGATGAACTAGAAACTTGATAAGGGAGGCAGGGAAGTAGTGTACCTTTTTCAAATCACATGCATTGAAACAGGTCTGTTATGGAACCATATATTGAATTTGTCTTTTACCTGTAATTACATAAGACAGTGGAAACTTTTTCTTTTTTCCTTTGAAGCAAAAGAAGAAACTAAACAAACAGGTTTTATAGGTTTTTAAAATACATTCTAGAAAGGCTTTTTTCTTTTTTTGCATTTTCGTTTTAGAGAGGATTGTGTCAAGGTTTTTGTCTACAAATGTGTAATGAACATTATTGTCAATACAAAACAAGCAAGTAATTAGTTGAATATATCTGTACTATGATGTTGAAAAATCAAATAGGTGGATCTAAAAGTCTATAAAAATTGTGGATGTGGGAAATGTTTTTTCAGTAGCTTTTCTCCTCAGTTTTTAAAAATCAGGAAAAGAACTTTTAAAAATTAAATGTATAACATTTTAACATCATTACAAGCACTGAAGAAATGTTTATTCACAGCTTAAGGCATCTATTCGCTTTCTACTGAGAGAGAAAATAGAAGTTTTTAATGTTTGTGAAAAAAGTTTTGGATATGGAATAGATGTGTAAAATTTTGTTCTGGAGGAATTTTTTTCTTTCTTACCTAACATAAGAAAGTAGTAGGGAAGCCCCTACCTTTGAGACCCCCGAACTGTTTACTGGCCTAAATATACATCATGTTATGCAGATAAGAGGAGAGACAGGAAAAGCATTACCTTTTTGCATATTAGTATTTACAAAATTACAGGCCTACCTCATTTTTTCCCATAGTTCCCTTTCTGTATTTTTTCCAATAATGCTTATATTTGCACTATTTACAAATGAAAATCCATTTGTATAACAACCTGGCCTTTGCTTTGGACCTCGTTCCTTGTGTTTCAGGTAAGCCAGCCATGAGAGGGTATCTTGTGGCCATTTTCCTGAGTGCCGTCTTCCTCTATTACGTACTGCATTGTATATTATGGGGAACAAACGTCTATTGGTAAGTTTAATTTTGTTATTTAAAAATAACTCTCAACCTTGTCTTTCATGCAAACCCACAAATTATAGTAGAGGGGTCCTATTAAAAAAACTTTTACCCTTGTAACATTTGGAATATTTTCTTGCTTTCCATTGTAAATTGGGGTTTTACCATTCCAGGATCTTATAGATTGTATCTCTAACAATGTAAAGTTTTGACAACACCTACTTTCTCTTGACTTCCCAGTGAATATGGTGTTAACCGTCTTTGGGACATAAAACATTTTTTATTTATGCAATAGATCATCTCCTTGAGTTAATGGAGTAATTACTGGGCTCAGTGTTACTTAATTTTTAGAACCTAAAATGCTTGCATAGGAGATGATCAATAAAATATAGATACTACAAATGGTTTCCTTTATTTAAAAATATTTGGTGAATGATGATAATGTGCATCTTTTGAAATAGCTTTGACTTGAAATATCACATATAAAAAAGAGGCACAGATAGTTTTACTGAAGAGAATGCCTCTGTAATAGGGTTTTTACCCTTTTCATTGTCAGTCCTTTAGCTAGGAAAAGAGTTTTGATGGCCTTTAAATCCCAAGCAGGTTGGTAGTACATAAGTATGCTAAAATAAATTGCGTAACTTCCTGTCTTTGACAAAGACTCAGTATTTTTTCCCAGTGTTTCATACTGTGTCTTAAATCATGTTTCTAACTTGGGCTTACTTGATGAAAAAATGCTGATGCTTCTGCATTTGGTTTCATTACTACTGGATTGAAAACTAATTGTAATGGTTTTCATGGAAGGACGTTAGGCAAATGACCACTGGAAAAAACCCAGTGCCAGGAAGGTAGTTTTGGCCCTAACGTTTTAGGCTTTGGACCCAAATATCGGGCTAGAGAATTTTGAAGTCTGATTATATACGAAATGAGGGCTACATCAAAGGGATCTATCCCTACACCTTTGCCACATTCTCTGTCCTACCCTTAGTAGTGGAAGACAAAAATAGAAAAGAAAGCAAAAATCTTGCTAGATTGCTGCTTTCCTACACATCCTATTGTTGTTCACAGGGAAAATGATAAAGAAGAAAAGGATGTAAATCAGCACAGCCTTTTGTCATCCAGGGTGAAGTGACCATGTTACTCCTAAGCTAACACATTACTGTAGTCACAGCAGGTACCTTGGGATGTTAGCTCAGACAGGTGTTTGTGCAGTGAACTTGCTTCTTTAAAAATGAAGACAGATAATTGTGCTTTTCTTTTAAAATGCCACCCAAAGGTTGTCTTCACGATATCCTAAAACAGTTTGTTTTCTATATTTAATGAGAAATCAAATAATATACTCCATTTTATCCCATAATTGAGCTTTTATAGTCTCATGTGCTGGTCCACCATATTTATGTATAAATCAGGGAGTCCTTGCCATTGTGCTATTCACAAAAGGTGTTTTCTGCATAAGGAGTTTACTAGCCTCATAGTTCAGAAACCTAGCAGTTCTAACCATGGGGATTTTGTACCCACAAAAATGGAAAATTGTGTCTGTCCGTGAAGGGTTCAGGATATTTCCTTCATTTTGAATCCTGCTGATGATAGAAGAAAATCGATTGTTTTTTTTTAATACTAATTCTTCACATAATTGATGATCATTAACCAGTTTCTGTATTGAGCTGTTTTCCTCTTTCCTGGCTAAGTCTGGATCCTGCCATCCACCACCCCTTTCATTTATGTTCCTTGTTATGCTCTGTCATGTTTCACAATACCCTTTTAAATTGTGGAGACAAGTGCTCCATTCAGGAGCACACAAGGGCCTAACCTATGCCAAGAATAGAGGACACTTAGAAATGACTCTCGAGCATGTGATTTGTGGAGTCCCCCGGATCCCAATGCAAAGGTCTGTGGATCCTGCTCAGGTCAGGTGTTTGTGTGGTGTTTGCTGCTGGTGTGAGTCAGCAGATGTGGCAGGAGGAGGTAAATAGCCACGTGCCCTTGGGGTGAGTCTGGCTTCTGAGCCTGTTTGTGGCTTCTGCAGTGTCGTGATCCTGTTTCTCTGAAGGACCTTTGAATCACTGCCCTTGGAATCACTTCCGGGTTGCTAATCACCTCAGCCTTTCCACCCTCCCTTCCCTATATCCATGAAGCTCAGGTGTGTGCGGGGCTTGGCGAAGGTACTGGCAAACCTCAAAGAGTGCAGGGAGGATTTTTCTTTGCTGCCATGGAACCTCTCAGGGGTGCCATGAATGAGTTCCCAGGGCATTTGCTTCCCTTTGGGCGGGGTGCCCGGTTCTGGTTTCTGACTGACACTATTTTTGTCTCATAGGGTGGCACCTGTGGAAATGAAACGGAGAAATAAGATCCAGCCTTGTTTATCAAAGCCAGCTTTTGCCTCTCTGCTGAGGTAAAAATATACCCCCAAAAAACCCTGTGGCATATGAAATATTCCAAATGTGCTTGTAATCGTTGGCCACACTTATTTTTTTTTAATGCAAATCTTAGCAGTATAAAGTGCCCCATATTTAAGGAAGAGCTTGAATATCCTGTCTCTTTTTGTGCTTTTAGTCAGAGCTCTGCATATATTTTAAGAAAAGGCATTGAGGAATTCAATCAAACCAGTATTCTTTTCACACAGGTGAGGCTAGAGAGGTCTGTTTGTGTTTGATTACAAAAAACTGAATTGTTCTTAGGGTTTTATTTTTCCCCCTTGTTCCCATGTTATTTTCCACCCTTATTGGTTTGTGCCTTCTCCTTCCTTGCCTCTAGGCTAAACTTTTTGAGTGAAATTTTCCCTTGTATTAACTTCTGCTGAACCACATAGAATGCAAATAATGATTAGTCTACATAAAATGTAAATGATTATGTATTGTGGCTCTTGGGCTTTGTAAAAACATTACTTTTCTATTCACATATGTTCTTTTCCTCCTCACCTTGACTTTGACAGATTGCTGGTCAAGATACTCTAGATAACAAGAAATAAAAGTCTGTTCTAGGCATGTTTAATTGTGCAAAAGAGGCACAATCTGTTCAGCACTTTTTCTATGAAGCATTAAGGATTCATTTTTTTTTTTTCCTATTTTATTACTGCACCTTTTTAACTCTTTTTTAACTCTTTGGGACTACAGATCCCTTTGCAGTCAGTCAACTCTCTGGAAAACTGCAAATACATAAGACTTTTTTGTATATGATTCTAAGCGTGCTATGGCGGCTTGTACCCTTTCCAGGGGTGTGTGTTCATTGAAACTGGAATGGTGTTTTAAAACTTTTTTGACCGTGACTCATAGGAAGAAATACATTTTATTTGGGACCTAGTGCAAACACATATTTGTAATAAGAAAAAAGTAATTTTTACCTTTACTACTCCAGATACACTGTGTTCTGTTGTATTCACTTTTTTTTTTTTTTTTTTTTTTTGAGACAGAGTCTCACTGTCACCAGGCTGGAGTGCAGTGGTGCGATCTTGGCTCACTGCAACCTCTTCCCCCCCGGGTTCAATCAATTCTCCTGCATCAGCCTCCCAAGTAGCTGGGACTACAGGTGCATGCCACCACGCCTAGCTAATTTTTTTTGTATTTTTTGTATTTTTAGTAAAGATGGAGTTTCACCATGTTGGCCAGGATGGCCTTGATCTCTTGACCTCGTGATCCGCCCGCCTCGGCCTCCCAAAGTGCTGGGATTACAGGCGTGAGCCATCGCGCCTAGCCTCCATTCGCTTTTTTAAAAGATGCTGATCATGACTCACAAAACTGATTTTCTGAGGCACATATGGGTTGCAGACTGCAGATTAAAATGCTGCTCTAGAATTAAGGTACTCCAGAACTTTATTGAAAAAACAGATACCTTTTCCTTTCTGAGAAAACCCGAAAAGATTAAAGTATTTCTGCAAGATTACTTAGCAGGGTATGTAAGTCTATAGTGTAAGTAACAAGTAGATTGGTGTTTGTCATGTGGACAGTATTATCTGAGGGCAGTCCCCTAGAGTGTACTTGAGGCCACTTTCTCAGAAACAGAAAAGCCAGCAGCAATTTGGAGAAGCTCTTTTGGGAAACCTGCAGCTGTTATCTTCAGCGTTAGAAAGAGAACATCTTTCCTTAGCATTAGGCTTGGGTGTGAATTTCAGCTTTGTCATTTATGCCTTAGTGACTGCAGACTTGTCACAGCTGATACAACTTCACATGTATGATACTTTTAAATTTAGAAATAGTGTAGCATCAGTACTTTTATAATAGTACTTTGTTTCTTCCTATATATGGCTATTATGTCAGCACTTGGTATTGGTTTGTTTTTAAGTTTTCTTTTTACTTCCTGAGTTGTAACATAATTTTCATTTTAGTAGCTGTAAAGTGTTTTCAGTTGCGTAGTTCCATTGCATACCCCATTCTATGCAATATTTCAGCACTGTTTAAACTTATTTTTAAAAATTAAAAAAATTATACATTTTCATATACGCAGTATAACAATATGAATTATATGTATAGTTACTTTTAGTTTTGATTTTAAAAACTTGCAAAGATAGTGAGTATTTGGCAAAATCACTCTTTATCCTTTCCTTCCAGGTTTCATCAGTTTCACCCTTTTCTGTGTGCAGCTGATTTTAGAAAGATTGCTTCCTTGTATGGTAGCGATAAGTTTGATTTGCCCTATGGGATGAGAACATCAGGTCAGTAGTATTATTCTTACCTGGTTCTGTTAAATTTGAGTGGCGTTTGATGAGAATGGCATGTTAATATAATTTTAAGGGCTTTTATTCTTTCTGCTTCCTAATGATTTCCAAAGGATATGATTTTGGGATGGAATGAAATGAATTACATTTTAAAATATAAATTCCCACTCCTTTTGAGGCAGTAGAGAAGCAAAGAGTAAAAGGGGTAGATTTGTTGTTGTCGTTGAGAAACTACTTTTTACATTTGCTGTGCCACCAGGTAAGTGATCCATGTAAGTTCTGGTGCCTTGTTTTATTCTGATTTAGAGTTAACAGGAAAACCTGAGCGTTAACTTCCTTCCTAGCTTCCCATGAATTCTTTTTACTTGTTTTGTTTTACTTCATCAGCAATTCTTATCCGCTTAAGTAGCCTTTTAATTTAACCAGTGGATATTTTCTTTATTTTATTTTTATTCATGTATTTATTTATTTAGAGACAGAGTCTTGCTCCATTGCCACGTGTCAGGCTGGAATGCAGTGGCGAGACCTCAGCTCACTGCAACCTCCGCCTCCCCGGTTCAAGCAATTCTCCTGCCTCAGCCTCCCAAGTGGCAGGGACTACAGGCGGGTGCCAATACGCCCAGCTAATTCTTGTATTTTTAGTAGAGACGGGGTTTCACCATGTTGGCCAGGATGGTCTCGATCTCTTGACCTCGTGATCTGCCCACCTTGGCCTCCCAAAGTGCTGGGATTACAGGCATGAGCCACCGTGCCTGGCCGTTATTTTTGTTAAGTTGAGAAATAATTATTCCATCTTCCAATGATAAAACACCTTCCCTTCTGCTTGTTGATAACTGATTGGCCCCATATAGCATTAAGCTCTAGATTTTTGAGGGACCCTAAAAGCCCAAGGTGACAAGTCCAACATTATGAGTTAGATTTTGCTTATTCAACTGATGCTGTGAGGGTTGGAGTTGCATTTTTTGTTTTGTATTTTAAAAATATTTTACACAGAATTTTTAGAATTTAATTGGCTTAAACTTACTATTTATTTCTATTCTAATGTCAATTTCAGAATCATCTGCTATTACTTTCAAATTACTTTTTGTGATTATTTTTCAGATTAAATGCGTTGTTTTTGGGGTAGGTTTTGGAAAGTGTCTTTGGAACATTTACCATTTTGAATGGGCCTACTGAGTAGTGCTGGCTAATTGTAGTTGTATCATTAATTTTTCGCAGAATAAATCAATGTGGCCACGCTGCTTGGAAATGGGTTTGTGGGACAGGGAGTAAAGTGGTTTACAAAGTACTAAAAAGGCGTGATTATCCTTGCATTCATAACACTCTGTTTGTTTTCTAGCGGAATATTTTCGACTTGCTCTTTCAAAACTGCAGAGTTGTGATCTCTTTGACGAGTTTGACAAGTGAGTTTATTTTCTTGCTTCTAGCCTGGCTATTAGCTTCAGCTAAGCTGGTTCAATATATACCCCAAGAGATGTAAGATGTATTTACTCAGGAAAATTTCATAGCATTTGTGCACAACCACAATTTCTAGTAGTAATTTCTTTGACACTTAAAAACCTACAAAATTAATTTAGATGCTGCATAACTGGTTGGCTCAAAAGTTTGCAGAGTCTTGATGATAATCAGCACTGCTCCCAAATCAGGACATTTTAAACCCACATTCATCTTTTCTAAGTTGTTCCTGTTTAAGGGTTAGTGCACCCCCTGCTAATCAGCTCACACCCTCTCTTTACAAACTGTTTCCCATACTTTGCCATGCATCCTCCAAACTGCTGATGAAGATTCTTTCTGTTTCACTTATTAAGGAGATTATTAGATTGGAAGCCACTCTCTTCTTTTTTTTTTTTTTTTTTTTTTTTT